CCGACTCAATGCCTTCAAGAATCTGGTAAGGCTCGTAAAATCTACGTGCAAGCTTCTGGGAACCCCTGCGTACCACCGAATGCTGTCTGTAGGGCTGCAATTTCAACAAAACCCAGTCCCCGAAGTTAAATTGAATGTCACGACGGTGGGTGTTGGCCGCTGCTTGCATACGTGCTTGTGCGGCAAGAAGGTTCTCCCGCAGCTGGTGTAACAGCGCTGTCCGTTTTGTCAGGAGTTCATCAACCGCCGGCACCTCACACTCCCCGCTAGAATATGGCAGAATTGAAGGCGGTGCACGGCCATATAAGGCTTGGAACGGAGTCATACGCAGGCCCGAATGGTAGCTTGTATTAATGGCAAATTCGGCCCAAGGCAATAGCAACAACCACCATTTGGGTTTCTCCAGGACATAAGCGCGTAGATATTGTTCCACGCCGCGGTTCATGACTTCGGTCTGGCCATCGGTTTGCGGGTGGAACGCCGTGCTAATAAGCAATGTCGTGCCACTAAGACGAAGGGCCTGCTGCCAAAAATTACTCATAAAAATATGATCACGATCGGACACAATGGATTTAGGAAAACCATGAAGCTTGACCACCATGTTCACGAAGAGTTGTGCCACCTTCAGTGCGTCGTAAGTGGCAGGCAAAGGGCCCAGATGTATGTACTTAGACAACCAGTCAACAACCACCAAAATCATGGAATACCCTTGAACAGATGGAAGGCCCGTAATAAAATCTATTGATACGTCGTCCAAAAAATGAAGTGGTATCTTTAAGGGCTGCAATAAGCCCGCAGGGGGCTGAGTAGAGTACTTGGTTGCTTGGCAGGGGAGACATGCTTCAATATGGCGTTGGACGTCCCGGCGCATGCCGGCCCAAAAGAAACTCTGTGCGAGGCGATAAAACGTGCATTGCACACCCGGGTGGCCTGCCAATGGCGAATCATGGTATTCTCGCAAGAGCTGTTTTCGTATGGGAGAGTCCTTACCAATAAAGATCCGGCGGCAGAAGTATAGGATACCATCAGTAATTGAGTAGTCCGGCGGCAAACGTCCCTTGGTGGCAGCCTCATGTAAGTGGCGGAGATCATTTTGGGATTGGTTCTCACGGCGGATGTCTTCCATAAGAGAGGGTAAGGGGTGTGAAAGATTACAAAGGGTCGCTGCTGGGTCCTCCGACTCCTCCCGTCGGGAGAGAGCATCCGCAACTCGGTTCGATGCTCCCGTTTTATACTCAATGCGGAACTGAAACCCCATCAACTTACGGATGTAGTATTGCTGATCCAGCATCTGAACCACTTGAAGCAGCAGCTCACGCAGGCTTCGTTGGTCCGTCCGTATCAAGAATTCGTGGCCCAACAAATATTGCCGCCACTTTTGTACGGACTCTACAATGGCTAAGAGTTCCTTGTGGTATGTTGATGCCGCCTGTTTCCTTGGCCCCAATTTTTTTCTAAAATAAGCGATAGGGTTCTCTCAATGAGAGCACCAATGATACGTATTTGTATTGGTTGGGAGAGACATCGAGTGCCTCCGGGCTCTAGGAAGTTGAGACAAAGAAGAGAAGAATGGACGCACCAGGTGCGCCACAAGAGAGGAGAAGAAGAGTAGACTAATTAGGGTTTATGATTATTCTTCAATGCTAATCCCGTTGGGTACGTCTCCTCTTATAGGTGAAACCCTAACCCTAATCTACCTGTCGGTTCAATAAAGGCGTCAAGGGATAGAACCGAAAAGAAAACCCTTGAAGGAACTTATAGACCGCTCTCCTAAGAAAATCTATTACAATTATTAAATATAACAATAATAATGAAAATAATAAAAGTGCTACTAAAAATAACTACGTGTCGTAGTCCGCATGCCATGCCGGTGGTCGTCTCGTTCTTGTGCCCCTGCGCACCAGACTCACCGCGTCCCCCGGCTACCCATCGTTACCGTCCTTAGTTGGTTCCCCACATTCATCCTCTATTGGTCCGTCATCCCCCGGTGGAGTACTCGTAACAGTTACAGTTGGATCCAAGGAAAAAGATGCAACATGTTACGTATTACTTTGAGAATCTTTATGGAGTACGTGCTAACACTGAGTGTGAAAGAGTAAAGGCATTGTTGGATTCTTTGGTAGTTGATTACGAGAGGAGAGGATCTTTAGTGAGAAGTGAAGAGCTAGCATATTCCATCTTCAGATGTTAATAATGTCACGAAATTTATATCTGATTTAGATGATATGGAGTGGGAAAGACATGTTTCTACAATAGAAATTTATCTAAATAGGACTAAAACATAATGACTTTTCCAATATAGGACCATATGTTTTTATTTCTCAATGTAGGACTTTTGGTCATTATCAAGTAGTCATTATTCAACTAAATGTCCATCATTACTGGACATCATTCCTTCCACTAGGTCATTAATAAGTCCTATTTGAGGAATAAAAAAGTCTAAGTCCTACATTAGAAAAGTCATTATGCTTTAGTCCTATTTAGTGCAAATTTCACTTTCTACAAAGCCAATGAAGAAGTATTTAAGATCGGAAGTTGATGTTTATTTAGACGATGATGTGATGATAGGAGATCCTAAAAAGTTTGATATCTTGGTTTATTGGAGTGTTGTAGCAAAACAATTTCCTATTCTTTCAAAGATCGCTAGAGACATTTTGGCCATCCCTATTACTTAAGTAGCCTCAGAAAGTGCTTTTAATGCAAGTGGTAGAATCATTAGTCCTAGTTGAAGTCAACTACTTTCCAAAATAGTGGAAGTACTAATGTGTCTTAAGAGTTGGAGGTTATTGCAATTTGAAGGTAAAACAAAAATTATTTAGTGTATACATAATAGTGTACGTATACAGTGATAATTTTTTATGCTTGAGTTATCTTATAGGCACATGTAATTAAGGATAATGCTTTGGAATGTTCAAGCGTTTTAGTTGATGAAGATGTCCAAGGAAAGATCATAGAAGAGGTCTTTTTTAGTAGATAAAGATTTAATTCTTATATATTTTCATTCAATATTTCCTTTAATGTTAAGAACTTTGTAGGAGATGCTAAAAGCGACGAGGATGACATTTGATCTTATGATTGGAAGATTGATTTCCCATTTGGCAGTAAGCACAACATTTTATGAGTTTGGATAAGTATTTGTCGAAATTTGTTGCATTTTTGTGTGTTTCTTATGGTGAAATCTTGTGTGGCACAAAATGAAAATGTTCCCCAAATTATATTCACATGTTTTGACTATCATTAGGACATTTGTTATAAATATCTTAACTTTTTGGTGTCTTAAAATCTGAAACATTTTTATGCATTTGAATTGTAATTGAATCATTACACGCATTTGTTATTTTATTCTTATTCTATAAAAAAATCAGAACAAAAACTGATATATTGGGACATTTAAACTGGTAATGGTCGGACGTGCAGGTCGATCAGTCAGGTTGAAAGTTGAGTTTCTATTTAGTTTTTTTGTATAGTATTGGGTTCGATCGGTTGCGGTATCGGGTATCAATTCGCATAGTCGGGTTCTGGTAGAAATTCTGACCCGACAGTTCAGGCAAAAAAAATGTCCGATCTTATTCTTGGGTCGGTTTTGGGTAAAGGTATATATGAACCGAACCCGACCCATTGTCATCCTTATAAATGGCGGCCCGAAAATTTTAGGGCCGGGTTTTTGGTCAAGCCCACAGGCCAGGCCGGCCCGAATAAATTAAAATATTTATTATTAATATAATTATAATAAAATAACAATAACAACATTAATAATAATAATAAAGAACAAACCTATTTCAAATTATTATTATTATAAACACACATACATACTTCTATGGAGAGAAGAAATAAACTATAAGTTTATATAATAAAATGAATACACCTTTACTACTCCGTATTGTTTGCAACGTATCACATTGATTATGACATTCCAATAGATAATATTTTGTACTTCATACATAGTAGCAATATCAAACAAAATATATTTATATATTAATTTTTCTTTCATTACTCATAATAGTTTTTATATCATATACTCCCTCCGTCCGGGAAAAATCTTCCTAGTTTGACATTTCCTCATTTTTAGTGAGGGTTGGCTATATCATTAAAATGTCCAAATTACCCTCCTATCTTTTGCCCCCCACTATCTTTCCTTTGCACAGCCCCACCGCCGTCCCTCTGCTGCCCCAGCCCCATCGGCCCATCACCCCACCGCTATCCCTGACCCACTGCCCCCCACCGCTGCACCAGCGCCATCGCCTCAGCCTCACCACTACCCCATCGCCCACCGCTGTCCTGTCCCCAACGTCCATAGATCTAGATCTAAGAAGAAGAAGAAGAAGGAGGAGGAGGAGGAGGAGGGAAAGAAATGGCCAGATCCAACCAAGAAAGGAAAGCCAGGAAACAAGAAAAAGAAGGGGGAAGAGAGAGAGAGGGAGAGAGAGTGAGAGAGATGAAGGTAAGGCCAGATTTGGCCGTGGGGAAGGAGAAATGGAGAGGAGAAATGTTGAAGGAGAAGAAGGGTAATTTTGGAAGAGTATGTATGAAAACGTAGAGTAGGAAGATTTTTTTCGGACGAAAAAAAAGGTAGAGTAGGAAGTTTATTCTTGGACGGAGGGGGTATCTAATATATTAACTTGTTACTTTATTTTTTTAAAAAAAAATTATTTTTCAAATTATTTAGAAGTTTTTGTCGGTCGGGCCGGGCCGGCCCGAAGCCCGCGGGTAACCATGCGGGCCGGGCTCGGGCCTAGAAAATTCTCGTAAAGTAGTGTCTCGGCCCGGCCCAAAACCCGGCCCGGCTCGCACTTTGATCAGGTCTACACCTTACCCAACAAATTTTATTTTCTTACTTTATCAGCTACGCATCAGAGAAATGGGCCACCATTAGTTTTGGGCCACAAGTTAAATTCAAAGAGCATAAAATTAACAAATGAGGGATATATAAAAATATTGTTCAACAAAATTGAACACTTCCCCCATGTGTCTTAGGAATATTTCAGGCATATTTAAAACCAAGCACATTAAAGCTCGATACAACCGAGAAGTTAGTAGAGACCAGAGACTAATAAGCTCTTTATTTCACATGCTCCACAACTGGCATGAACCATTTTCCCAGCTGACCTTCTCATCCATCTGTTGCTGTGTTGATGAAAGAGTGGTTTGTAGTGACAGTAGATGCAACACCAATCTCCAAGAAGCACTGACAAACATCTTGCATCACTTTCATCACAGAGAAACTTGGGTCCAGATCTTTGTACTCTTTACGACATCTATCGTCCATCAACTTCATCAATGCATCAAGGCTAGGCATCTGGAAGTTAGGTATTGCGAATGCCGTGCCACAGTTCAGAATAACTTTCAGCACTGCAGTGGTCAGTGAAGCTATCTCAAGGCTGGATGGTTTGTCTGTGGTGTTTTCCAGGTTGCCTTCGGTTCTCGCTTCGCCTGATGGACCCCAAACTCCTTCATTTGATTCTGGTCTAGTGATATATTCTGAATGCAATCTTTTAAAGGGTCTTTCATGCAAAACTTCTTCTTCCACCAAATTGCCCTCCTGCTAACGACACATATAAACATGAAAATAAATGAAAACACAGAGCAAACAGCTAGTACAAAACAGTTGGGTACATTGATGATACACCAAACAGAAGTCTTTACACATGGTTTCTCATGGTGAACAACATTTGATAATATCAGCTGCAGATTCTCACAAAAGGAATAATAATAAAAGAAGCAACAGAAAACTACATTCACCTTAGCTTCCTCATTGTCAAGAATTGCAGCTACAAGGGGGGTATAATTCTCTTCTTCAATGAGATCCCAGTTTTTCTTGTTTAACTTAAGAAGACGTTTTAATGCAGGTTTCACCCTCTCATCAGAAATCCCAAGAGCTTTCATGGCATGAAAGGCACTCGCAATCCTATTCTTAGAATCAGGAGCCATCCTTCTCGTAGAAAACTCTCACAATCAGCCCCGGATGCTAAATTGACTTCAAATAAACACCAAAATTGATAAGCTTGTGAAATGTTTTGAATTTCACTCGTTCAGGACGAATCAATGCGTACAGATTTTATTAAAGAAAACAAACCAATTGCTTAAATTGATAGAACAAATAGAAATGCCTAAAAATTAGTAGAAATTTCAAATTAATATTATCAAATATCTTCATTTCAGAGTATTTAAAAAACAATTCAAATATATATAGAGATAACGCTGAAATTAATTAAGACTCCGAAGATCTCAAATTTGGGCACTCTCCATATTTTGGGGAAATAGGAGTTATATTTCGTGGTCCGAGATCATGGAAATATATAATTACGCACAAGTGACCCATAGCACATTGCATTTATGAGAATTAAACAAAAAAAAAAAGGCAATGCATGGATGTCTGAAGCAGTAATAAAGGCGAATTTACCCGTTTCCACAGTTCGACTCGCACACTTCTTTGAGAAGCAGAAATTACGCAGGGGAGAAGGTAGGTGGAGAGAGGCGATTCATCTAGGTGGAAGCAAGATGCAAGATACGTGAGAGCACTCGCGATATACCCCAAAAACTCTCTCTCTCATAAAAAAAAGTTTTATTTAGAAATTATGTAGAAATAAAAAGTACTCCCACTTTCCCCCATAGACCTTCTCAATAGCCCTTTTTCTTTGTCCACAATATATCTTCTCATTTCATTTTTTAACAAGTAAAATACCACAACTACCCCCACTTACTTTATTTATTACACCTCACCCACCTCATTTAATACACTCCACCCATTTTTCATTAAGGGTATTATGGTAAACTTTCACCTTTTTTCAACTCTCCTTAAAAACCACCAAAAGTCAAAATGAGAACATCTTAGGCGGACGGAGGGAGTGCAAATTATATCATTAAAAGTTTATATTTTATCAAATGATTAAATTTTTATATAAATATAATTTATTGAGAGGCCATAATAGTAATTGCGAAAACAAAGATATGAGATGGAGAGAGTATTACGGAATACTTCATGTTGGAAATTCAGAAGGGGTAGTAAAGCTATGAAGCAACTCGCTACACAAAGACTGTGAAGATAAGCTTGATACTTGATAGACTTAGAGAATCACATACTCCATATAAAACTCTTCCAGATTAAAACTATTTCGATGTATACCAAAATGCTCCAATCACATAAGACGTAAATAATCTAGAATGAGTATGGAAGTTATATTGTATCAAAACATGCCATGGAGCATTCTATTTATAGGCATAATTTGAATGGACATGTTGCGTTGGTCGATGAAACAACATAATTTTTTGTGTAATATTCGAATGTTTGTACTTAAACATTTGAATGTATGTAGCGATTCATATGCAAACAATTATTTATGCAGTTTTGTGTGAACGGTAACATGTTATTTAAACCATTCAAATGTTTCAGATTAAACATTTGAATGTATTAGGCCGTTTCACAAAGGGTTAACATTACATTCGAATGTATTATTTTAAACATTAACATGTAGATTAGTTTAAACTCCGTTTATGAACATCTAAAGGACCCCGCTACCTTGGACCACACTACCAGGGGCTGCAGCCCTTAGACCCCACTATGAAATTTATAATACCGTTGAACGACCGCGCGTTCTGCATTTCCAAACTCGTTAGCAACGCCTATTAAAATCCTCATTCTATTTAAGTAAATCTAATTACATAAAATAATTGATGACACTAAGATTGCCAATAATTCCTCCGTCCAAAAAAAATATGATCTAAATTACTATCTCCCTATTTTTTTTATTATTTGGATGCTTCATTAATTACAGGACAAAATAAAATCTTCTTGTATGATAGAACTTTGATGTAACTTTGAAATACATAATTTGTTAATTTCATTTCATACTTGTATTTTAAAATGTTTTAAAAAGATGAAGTTTTATACAGTATGTAAGTAAGACGATATTCTCGAAACGAAGGAAACATGGAGTAGTGACGGAATCATGAATACTCCTAGTTTACAATCACTAGTCACTACCTCTCGAATTAGCGGAACAATAATAATTCTAGGATACGCCAAAGATATACCCCAATTTATACACCATATACCACTCATATGTGCCATGCTAGAAATACATCAAAATAGTGTCATGTATCGCAGTTGTACACCAGGCTAGCAGTTTCTGTTTATTTATTCCAATACATCAAACGAATATAGAGAATTTGGAATAAATAAACAGAATCTGCTACAACTTTTTCTAACTTGTATTTATATGTTCTATATAGAACTTGTTCTCATAACTCATCACAAGATTGCTTACTATAATTAGCAACCCTATTTGCATGTTGTAGAGATTACTAATATGTAATTGAGTAACAAGAATAGTTCAAAAACATCTAAAGCTGCCTAAATTTGCCTCATGTGAAGGTATTGCTGGTTGGATACATTTTTGCAAATAACACTTTAGTAAGCACAAGCAACCGGAGGGAAATGAAAATGAATTGCCCTTGGGGTACCCCAAGTTAGACCCCATTTTTTACACCAATGCCTTTACAAATGTTCCATTTCTATGCTGTCTGTAACAACATTGGTGTCAAAATGGGGTCAAACTTGAGGTACCCCAAACACGACTCAAAGAAAATATGGATCAGCCGCTTATTTATCTACAAGACATTATAGAGATGGATCAAGAAGGGATGTACTAGAGTCAACCTAGATCGAAAAACGATTACAGGAGTGAATGAACGAAACGATTGCCATCTTCATAGTTACCAAATTCATAACTAAGCGGAAGCTCAAACAGCTATTACAATGTGGATGTATGGAGTGGCAAATCAAATCATATCAAAAATCAATCAGCAGTTTAAGTTGCCCTAGATAGCCTCATTAGTGATCGGTTTAATAAAAATTAAAACTTGATATATCGAAATTGCCTCTTACTAGTCTTGCTTCTTCAATCTTATACATCTAACGAAACAGCAGGATTGCTATATTCATAAACAGTTCAATTGCTGCAACAGTTTTTGAAGCTCTTATCACTACTTTAAAAAGAAAGAAAAAGAAAAGCTCCACCCCAACATTCATAAGACTAAATTCAACGAAGATTGCATCATTCTCCTGTGGGAGAAAAGGATGTAAATCCCAATTTTTTTTAAAAAAAAATACAACAGTACATGAATCTGGATTGTAGTCTACCTTGAAAATCATTGAAGGCCAAGTAAACAATGTTCCGAAGGGAAAATATTTTTCAAGAGTGAAAATAAATCGAAATCATATAATTATTCAAAAGGATCCAGATAAGAACAGAAATCAATTATAGATCTCAAACAGAATCGGGAAAATCGGAGTCGCGATTCATCACCTCGGAGGTGCAGATCCGGGCGGAGGGGCGCCGAGCAAGCTAGCATGTTGCATCTCGAGGTCGTTGAGTTGGGCGTCGCGGTCCATCTCGATGATGAGAGGTACTATGAGGATAAGGAATGTGGTTCCGGCGATCCAGGCTGCCTTTCCCGTGCTTTTGATGAGCTTCTTGGCGACAAAAGCTGCGTCCGAAGCGGCTCGCTTGCCTCTATACACAATCGGAGATTGATTGAAGGATGACGAAACCCTAGAAAGAAATCCGCCGCTGTTTCCGCTGCCTGGCCGCACCGGAAGCGAAACTCCGCCTCTCCCAGACGACATCGTGGAAGTAAATGAAGCTCCTGTCCCCAGTTCCACACTCCGCTGACAGTATTTTAGGAGAGTTTTTACTCCCAACATTTCCAACCACACTTGCTAAACATGATTTGCTTAAGTTATTTTTTAGAATATGAATAGTGGTATAGCAAGCCATTTTACATTTTTCATCTCCAACCTTCCTTTGCTATAATTTAGCTAACAATTACTTGGTCCGTCCATGAGTATTTGTCTACTTTTGATTTTTGGAACTGTTCATCTAAGTACTTTGACTCATCAAATTCTCTCAATGTATAAGCCTAAAAATAGTCATGTGTGATCTTGTTTGATTTGTCTTAACATATAGATTATTAATATATAATTTTTATAATTTTTTAATATACAAATTACAAGATAAAATGGATTAAAGAAGTACATTGGATGGTATGCAAAAATGAAAGTGAACAAACACTCAGGGACGGAGGGAGTATATTATATTTTTTTCACTATTATAATACTTTCCTTATAATAATTATTCAATTATTTTTTATATTATAAAAATTAAGTAATAATTATGTAATTTAAAAATAATAATTTCAAAAAACAATACGGAGTAATATTTTACTTTAGGGAAAATAATAAAATATAAAGAGCTTTTTTTTAAATATTTAATAAATACCAATTAGAGAGTAGAGAAAAGAACTTTACAAAAAGTCAAAAAATTAGAGAGTTGAAGTAACTAAGAGCACTGGTAATACGTTTGAAGTCCCGGGGCTTCAAACCGGGGCTTCAAACTTTCTATCTCTGCCACGTCAGCTTTAACTTACACCCAAAATTCACTGAAAATGGGTTTGAAGCCCCGGGGCTTCAAAACTGGGCTTCAAACCTTCATTTTTTTACATTTTTAAATATACATCTTCTAAAATTAAATTAATAAAATGTACTTAATTTTTTATTTAATTAAATTGAAACACGAATAATAAAAAACACATTAATTAAATAAAAAAAGCGACAATAATTTAAAAAAAAAGATACATTAATAAAAAAACTAAGGAAAATTATATTTCTCCTTGATCTCTCTCATTCTTTGCTCGTAGATAATTCGTCCAAACTCCGACAACGTCCCGGGGTCGGTTTGCATGACTTTCATCTCGGCCTCCTGCTCCTTTAGCTTCAACTCCTTCTCTTTAAGCTTCATCCTCTCTTGTTCTTGGAGATTGAACGCCCGAACTTGTTCAACCATTGCCCGGCCGATTTCGTCGCGGGGAGAAGCGGAAATAGAGGCGGACCCTCCCGAACCAGAGGCAATAGATTTTGCCTTCTTTCTTCCGATCGGACGTGGAATGGGGTCCTCGTCATCAGAAACCGCAACGTTGAAGGAAGGGATTTGATCAGTAGAACCGATGGTCTCGTCGACCTCAACCTCGGCGTCGACGGTGGATCTTTTCCGGAATGATACGCCGTCGGGATTGTTGAGTTGTTGCCACTTTGGGGAACGACTCAAAATCCCCCAAAGATCGATGGGCACCTTGCCTTGGTTCCTGTCGTCTTGATACCGGGTCGTGGCAAGCCGGAGAACATCGGCGTCGTTCATGCCGCTCCTCCGGGACCGGGAGCATTCCTCGTATACTCCCATAAACTTTCGTACTTTTTTGTTGATGTGGCTCCATTTGGAAGTGAGTTGGTCACGGGTTCGGTAGGAGCCGTCCTTCTTCATCTCCGTGAAGAACTTCTCCTCGATACGATCCCACATCGCATCCTTCGTTTGCTCCGTACCTTTAAAAAAGTATTACACAATTTTTTTTACACCATTCAATATAATATATATAAATAAAAATATAAATATATTAGAAAAAACAATTTTTTTACCAATGATAGGATGCTCAGAGACGTCAACCCAAGCCGACGCCAATATGCACTCCTCCTCCGGCGTCCACTTTTGGATTGACCGTGCCGCATCGGTCAACGTGCTTTTGGCTTTGTGGCTCCTCCGGCGTGTACTTTTTTTCGATCCGGACGGTTCCGGTTGAGTCTCCGGAACCGAATCTCGGTCGACGTACCCCGATTGTTGCGTCTCGTATATCGGCGGTCGATCGCCCCACTCTTGGTAGAACCACATCGCGGCGTCACTCGGGGGGAGATTGTCGGGATCGAAGCCGGAGCCGGAAAGATTCATGTTGAAAATTGGGAGGAGGGATTTGAATTTTGAAATTTAAAAATAAGAAAGAAGAAGAGATTGGAGAGAAGGTGTGAGAGATTGGTTGGGGAGGGTTGAAGTTATAGGAAAAAAATTTTTTTAATTTGGGGTGCAACGGCTTTTTTAGCCGCTAGGAGGGAGCAGCGCATTTTCCACGTCGCGTCATTCGTTTGACGCAGGCGCCCTCACGCCCGTTTTACGCCGGCGGAGGGCGGTGTTTCACGCCCCCGGGGCGTTAAACGCCCCGTAACGCCGGTGGGCGTGAGGGGTGTTACCAGTGCTCTAATATTTTGAGAAGGAGAATGAGAGAAAATAAGAGAGAAATCAAATATTTAATCAATATCATGGTTTGCTATATTTTGAGAGGCTTGTTATATATGACAAGCCAAAGTTAAAATTTACCAAGTGTGTTATAATATAGCAAGCCCCTTGGAGCACAAAAATTGAAATGATTGCCAAATAATGACACTTAACAAGTCAAAACTTAATGATTGGAGAAGCTCTTAGGGTATGTTTGGATTGAGAGAGGTAAAGTTTTATTATGTACCTAATGTAAGGTAGGTAATGGAAGCTAGGTAAAGTAAGGTAAGAAATTAAAAATTTGTGTTTGGATATTTATTAGGTAATGTGAGATAAATAAACAATAAAATTACTTAAATACCCTTGTGCTTGGCTGATCGGATTTCGATGCTCGTGCGGCGAGCATCTCTGTGGCGAACACCAGTACTCTGACCGCTACGATGGCCGTTACGACTACAAATCCACGGGACGGAATGCCAGGGAAAACCTCATATTGCAAAAAAAGCTAAAAATTTGAAAAACAGAATAGTATATTTCAATAAATATTGAACTAACGAAAAAAACATAAAAAACATGAAATTAAAATACACAGCAAAACATAAAAAAATCAGCAGAAAAGAAAAAAATAGCAAACCAAAAAAACAACACAGTAAAAACGAAAAAGAAAGCAGAAACAAAAAATGAAAAAAAAATAGAACAAAAAACAAAAGACCGAAGGGAGAGGAAAGAAACCAAAAAAGAAGATAAAAACCGAGGGGAGAGGAAGAATCTACCACTGGAAGAGGAGCTGGCGACTGAACGGATCTGAGATCGGAGATCGAATAGGGCTAGCGAAGGGCAGCAGTGGAACTGAATCTGATGACCGAGGTGTTTTGCGAAATCGGCGATAGCCTAAATTTCACTGTTACGCGGTGAAGCTACCTCCATTTTCCTCTCCTCACCTATCACAGTTTCTTGATTTTCAGCTAATCGAGGGAGACGGTAGTAGTTGCGTGAATATTTAGCGTGTAACGATGGATGCTAGTTCTGATTTTTTTACTAAAGCTGGGTATTTTGGGGTTTTCGTGTAAAAATTAGTCCTAGATCGGGGAGTTTAAGTTCATAGTCCTGTTTAGGTATATTATCAATGTTTAAGTCCTATTTAGGTATTTCTCCTAGAGGAGTAAACATAGTAAAAGTATCAAAAAAAGCTCCATGTTTTTATCTCAAAAGCAGAAGTTCTCACTATGCTAAAGTGACACTGTAAATGCCTATATGGATATTTTACAATACATTTTGGTGATATACATGGTCATGATTATATTGGCACAGTAAATGCTTTTTAACTCAGATTTCGAGATTAAAAATATGGAACTCCCATTTGGTTTATTTGTGAAAGTTTTACTCTTAGCCCCCGTTCCGTTCAACTTATTTTTTCTTATTTTTTCTTATTCTCAATCAGATCAGATCAAATCAGATCGAATCATATAAGATCAGATCTAATCACATCAGATCCAATCACATCAGATCAGATCCAATCAGATCAGATCAGATCAAGACTTATTAAAATCAGATCCCATCAAGAATTATTATTATTATTATTATTATTATTATTATTATTATTATTATTATTATTATTATTATTATGATCATCATCATCATCATCATCATCATCATCATCATCATGATTATTATTATTATTATTATTATTATTATTATTATTATTATTATTATTATTATTATTATTATTATTATTATTATTATTGTTTTTGTTGTTCTTAAAAATGAAAAAGAATAAACTTTAGAAATAGGTTAAATAGAAAACAGAGAAAGTAATCCTTAATTATTAGACGTCGGAAAAATTAGTACTCCCTCCGTCCTAAAATTAATTTCCCAGTTTTACTTTTGTAGTCAAACTTTTTAAACTTTGACCGTATATTATGAAAAAAATACATTAAATTTTCATATAAATTTATTAGCAATAGATTCATTTTGAAACATAGTTTTGAAATATATAATTTTTATAAAATATATTTATATAAAAATAGAGATATTGATGGTCAAAGTGTCGCATTGGAGACCGTGAAAAGTCAAATGAGAAATTAATTTTAGGACGGAGGGAGTATTAAAATACATTGACAATGTCAATCTAATTCTACTTTTAAAATATATTTTTATTACTACTTGTAATTTGAGTTTCTAAACTTTTGATCTTTTATAAGGATGAGATATTTTAATAAAAATACTATCTCTTCTATATATTGATTATCTAAATTTAATTACTTTTTAATGTATATCTATATTAACTATTTTTATTTTATTAAAAAATAATCATTAAATAAAAAATATTGATTATATTATAATATGAATTATCATTACAATTTTCAAACGTTATTATAAAGTCAAATTAAATTATTGATTTGAAATTTTAAATTAAATCATAATTAATCAGATCAGATCCAATTAGATCAGATCAGATCTAATCAGATCAGATCAGATCCAATGAGATCAGATCAGATCAGATCCAATCAGATCCAATGAGATCAGATAAGATCAGATCAGACCAGATCAGATCAGAACTTATTAGAATCATATCAGATCAGAAAAAATAAGTTGAAAGGAACCGAGCCTTACTTTACTCTTTATTTGGATGAAGTATAATTGATAAAGGCGAATTTTTAGTGGTTCTTAGGTCCACACTTAGTTTATAAACCTTATATATGCTCCCTCCGTCCCAAAAAGTCTTTCTCCTTTAGTTTTTTTTGTCCCAAAAAGTGTTTCACTTTTCACACTTTTGGACCCTAATACCCTTTACCCTAATTAAATCTACCCAACCCACCCAAACCCCTCCACCTACCTTATCCATCAATTCACTCTACCCACCCACTCATTACACTCATCTCCGTCTCTTTTCTCTGCCTATTCCACTTCCCTGTTGTCGGCGCCCTTCTCTCTTTAATTTAGATCTCCCTTCTCTTTTTCTTTGATTGATCTAAAATTTCTTATGGGGAATCATGATCCTACGATGCCAAGCTTCAAGCTATTATCTGATAGTGATGAGGAGGGATTGGCTCTTACACCTGTCCCAACTACTTCGAAGCCTTCAATCCCAGATTATGGCTCTGGGGATAGTGGATCTGGAACCTCTGATACAGATCCAACATGGTGGTACCGGAAAAAATATCTAGGGGGTGACTTTTTCCCTTCAGAGGAAGAAGAAGGTTGTGTCGAAGATGGCAAAGAGGATGAAGATGATGAATCTGTTACCTCAGAACAGATCCTGGCCATGTCTGATACAGAAATTGTTTTCGATGAGCCATATGGAGATGAGGCGAAGGCACTTCGCTATAGGAAGAGTAATTTCGCTCAACTCTTTAATTTTACTCTCTAATTTCTACATGCCCTAATTTATTTCTAAAGTGGCAAACTTATGATGCAAACTTGTTACTGATTTGGCAAAGTTGTAATGTCACCCCGTATAGGTTGGAGACTTACATTACTGAATACTTTTATCCATTTGATCAACCCTTTGTCTGTTTTGTGCCAAAAGTGTTGTGGTGAGAGTATGATTGTGGGAGGGAATTCATTCTTCTCTGCCAGTGATTCAAATCTGCACTTGTAATTGCTTTTTATTTTCTTGTTGATTTGTTCTGATAAGATCTGAAAATGCTTATCAAATTTGTTCTGATCAGAACAGATGCTACATTACATCCAACTGATAAATACAGATGCTACATTACATCCAACTGATAAATACAGATGCTACATTACATCCAACTGATAAATACAGATGCTACATTTAGAGACTACCTTTACTGATAATTATACAGACTACACTTGCATTACAAAAACTCAAAAAATGTCAAGTAGAACTCCAACTGAGTCAGATACACCACTTGTCAATAGCCTGCCAAAAACTTGTGCAAAAGGAGTCAATAGGAAGTACATAGAGGCATTGTACTCTTCCTTTCCCATGTTGCACTATCAAAAAAAGTACCCTATCAAAAGGTACTCACATATGCCCCTGTAAGTACACTTGTGCAGTGTGATACACTTTTGGACTAACCCCTAAATTTTGTGGTAGTGTTCCTTCTCTGGCCATCTTTGTTTTGTTCATGTGAGGGATTTTGAACTGGTTCCCCCCTTTGTTATTAAGAACCTCACCCATCACATCAAGAATACTCTATTAAGTGTGTCATGTGAGAGCTCTTCAAAAGCTGTAGTAACAGCAAGAACCAAGTCTGCCAAAGACCTAGGAGCAGCTTGGTCTTGCAATGTGTCAATAGATCTAAAGAATCCAAGGTCAAGTACATTTAGGTCTGGGCTGTTTGGAGGCTAGAATTTCAATTCAATATTCTAGTCTCCTTCATGTCCTGCTGCTAAAATATCATAGTCATTACCATCAACATGAGGCTTTGCATTATCTTGCTGAATAATAACATTCCTTGAAGAACCTGGCCACTTTTGCTTAATTGCTGGTAGTAACTTACTGAGTAACATCTCTTTCATAACATCCCTTTTTATTATTGGGATAGCCTTGACCTCCATAGTCCCTGCTAGCCTATTTTTACTTGACCCATTCACTTATAATATGCCTATTTTCCCATCCCACAAAACTTCCCCATACTCCCTATACCTTAGCCTACCAACAGCAGCTAGGAACATTATTTTGGGTATATGACTTTTGCTTTGAATGGTTCTGTATGGTGTTGGACATGAGTTCAAACCCCTTTATTATTTTTGGAATAATTTTTGTTTTGATGAATGACAAACAGGATGATTAAATTCAAGCTGATCGAAATTTATTTTTCATATCGAGAAAAGCAAAAAGGCGTATCAAGATAAAAATCAACGCTCACCCCTACGCATTTTTTTTTGAAGTGAAGTGAAGACTCCGAAGACTTTTTAATTTTTATTGAGTCTAGGATTTTTGTAAGGATGACAACACCTTCTGCACAAACAAATTAACTTCTGAGGGATAAAAATTATTATTTCTGGAGTCAGTTGAAAAATCTTTTTAACTGTTCAAAATAGTTTTATTGAGTCTGTCACAAAAGGTGTGTCAAACATTTATCAAATATTTATTTTGATATTATAAAATATTTTTGGTAAGCAAAAATATTTTATTCAAATATTTTCGTGTTCATCGTTTGACACACAAAATAATTTTGGGACTCACTTTTTTCTCCCCTATTCAAATTCATTGAATGAGAGGCTTTTGATTGAGGAGCATTGCTACTGATTCCCGTTGTCTCAAACAACAAGTATCAAGCCAATTCACTCCTCATCGCAACTGGCCTTGGGGCCATTTGTGTTTGCACATTATTTTTTCATTTTAATCGATTAATTACTCTAAGATAATCGATTAGATCCAATTGCTTTCTCAGCGCGTTTCTCAGGTCATACAGTTAATCGATTAATACTCTTCAGTTAATCGATTAGTTTGGACAGATCAAGCTAATCGATTTTCTCCTCTTGTTTAATCGATTAATTGAATGTTGTTTGAATTCCTTGGCTTACCGACTAATCGATTTATTGCTTTAGTTTAATCGATTAGTTCCAATCTTGTTTTCAAGCATTTTCGCCTCTGTGTACCGTAATCGATTTATCTTTCCAGTTTAATCGATTAATTTCATCTGGTGCATATTCTCAGCCTGCTCCAACGGATTTATTTTACTCAGCCTATTTAATCCCTCATTCTCCTTCATTCCTATACTTCACTCTTGCACTCCAAATTCTCATTGAGCCATTGTCATCCCTTGCTTCATCTTCCTCATCAAAACATTATTTTTTGAGAATTATAAATATTTTCTTTGAGTGCTAAAGAAGTTGTCATCCATAGAGCTTTAATTCCTCAAACACTACTTTGCTCAATTGTGTGAGCTTTCATTCTTGTGTTGTAAACTCAATCTCATTTGAGTGTTGTTAATAAGACTTGTGTGACTCAAGTCTTGTTGTTGTAAGAAAGTGAGGCTTGTGTGATTCAAGTTCTCAAGTTGTACCGGTTTTTCAAGCACCCGTTGAAGCTTGAAGATTAGTAGGACTTTCGAGAGAGTCTCTCGGAGGACTGGACTAGCCACGAGGTGGTGAACCAGTATAAATCCCAGTGTTCTTCTTTCCCTTACTCTCTTTACTTATTTCTGCAATTTTTTATTTCACACACGCGAAAAACACACATTCTTGAAAACAACTCTATTCACCCCCCCTCTAAAGTTGCACATTTGTCTAACAATTGGTATCAGAGCAGGAAGTTCTTCGAATACGTTATTTTTCAGGAACTAAAAGATCAAATGGCATCAAGGATGTTCAACGCAGGAGTGACCGAGGGACAATCAACCACGAGGCCACCTTTGTTCAATGGAACAAACTACTCGTATTGGAAGGAGAGGATGAGAATCTTTATCCAATCCAACGACTACAAGCTGTGGTTGATTGTGAAGAACGGCTGTGGAGTCCCGATGAAAAAGTCGGTGAAGTCAACGTCCCCAAAACCGAAGAGGAGTTCACTGACGAAGATTGCAAAAAGATGGAGCTCAACGCAAAGGCAATAAACATGATTTATTACGGTGTTAATGCGGATGACTATCGTAAAATCTCGCGGTGTGAAACCGCAAAACAAATGTGGGAGAAATTGGAGGTCACCTATGAAGGAATCGCGCAGGTTCGGGAGGCCAAAATCGACTATCTTACTCACGAGTACGAACTCTTCTCAATGAAGGAAAACGAGAAGATTGAAGAAATGTTTGAGAGGTTCTCTAACATCATCAATCCTCTCAATCTTCTCGGGAAGACCTACACCGACCGAGAACTCGTGAGAAAGGTGCTGCGAAGTTTATCCCCCAAATGGCGTTCAAAGGTGGACGCAATCGAAGAAGGTCGTGACTTCCAAACAACGACCTATGATGCTCTTCGAGGTAATCTTATTACCTACGAAACCACCCAACTCTCAAAGGTGGTTGAAGAGAGGAACAAGAGGTCTATTGCTCTACCCGCAACAACGTCAACCCACAACAACATTGATGATGAAGATGATGACAGCGACGACACCGACCTCGGACTCTTTGTCCGAAAATTCAAGAAGATGATGCTCAAGAAGGGAGCCAAGAAAAACACTCCACCCAAGTGCTATGGGTGTGGTGAAATTGGGCACATCAAACCAATGTGTCCGAAGCTCAAAAATGAGAAAGACAAGAAGGCACCGAAGAAGCAACGTGCCTACATTTCTTGGGAGAACGACGGCTCCGGGAGTGAAGACTCGGAAACGGAGGAAGTGGCCAACTTATGTCTCATGGCCATTGAAGATGGTGACACATCAAAAGAGGTAAGTGATCAAGAACCTTCTCCCAATGA